AAGAGAAATTATATACAGGGAGTAAAAGGAAATGAAAGAGAAAAATGTCAAGAATGTGAGCCTGGGAGCTGGGCCGGCTCTGAGGAGCCGAGGCCGGGCTGCAGCAGAGCTGCTGGGGACGGCCTTTGGTGCAAGTGGGGACCAATGGCCCATGGATGAGGGGCTGAAATCCCAGTGTGGTCTCCAGAGGGGTCAGCGTCAGGCAGTCAGATTGATGGTTTCTTTCCTGCCCGCCCCCTCAGAGGTTTTTATTCATCTTTTGGAGGCTGGTTTTCTGCCATCTCTGCGGTGCAGTGGTCAGCAGGCAGCTCTGTTTGCAGGCCCCAGAGCCTGGGCGAGCAGAGGGGTCATGCCCAGGCGAGTGCAGTCACGTTTCTCCTATCTGGCGCTTCGTTAGTCAGGGATCCCACGTGGCAGCTCCGCGCGTTGACTCTTACCCCGTGTTTCCTTTTCCTTATGCTTTTTCCAGGCCAGGCATTGAGATCTAGCCATTGGCACAGATGTTCCCCCTTGTCTTGTCCCTGCCCTTGGTTCATACAGATTATACATAATCCATCTGGAGGGGAAAGGGACAGGGGTCAGATTAACTATGAACTGGAGTCAGCCCTGATGGTGGGTGAAACTTGTTTTAGCCGTGGGAAGGAAGACATGGAGCAAGCTCGTGTCCTGAGGGATGGCCCATTTGTTGCATCTCACTCCCTCACTGACTCTCTCAGTGCAAGATCATTTCTCTTGCAACCTATATAGAGGGGTCACCAAAAAAAAAAAAAAAAAGAAAGAAAAAAGTGCATATTTTGAGTTACCAGTTGCTAGGACCCAAAATGATCTGGAATTTGTTTACCTAAGCCTCTTGCAGGTTTAACCCAGCACTGCTCACTGGGGAATTTTGAACATCTAACAATCTGCGAGAGCTGCTAATAAGTTTCTGTGAGGTTTGGGAGCAAAGAAATGGGCTGAATTTGGTGGATAGCAGATGGTCATCATGGTCCTACTGATAACTCTCCCCACTCTGTTGGTGAAATGCACCCTCTGTCTCTCAGCTCATGCTTTCTAAGCTTTCATCCAGACCTTTTGCTGTTTTTATTTCTTACATTTTCCCCATCGTTCCTCTCATACCAGAGGTTTGGGTTTTTTTATTTATTTTTCTCCTTCTGGGATCTCCTTCCAAGAGCCTTTTGTCTATCCAAAGAGGGACAAAAGTAAAGAATGTGCTGAGTTTTAAACCTGTGTCACCCAAATGGGCTCATCTTTCTCTGCCTGTCTCTGTTCTACTATGGTCAGCTGGGCCAAAGCAGCAGTGGGAGAGTTAGAGGAGGAAATACTTGCGTGGGCAACAGCAAAGAGTGTGTGGAAAGACAGACCTCAGCACTCTGCCATCCAAACTCGACTCACCATTGATCGCTTTTTCTCACCAGGACCTGATGACACAGAACGGGATAAGCTATGTCCTCAATGCCAGCAACTCCTGTCCCAAGCCAGACTTCATCTCTGATAGCCACTTCATGCGCATTCCTGTCAATGACAACTACTGTGAGAAGCTGCTTCCTTGGCTGGACAAGTCCATTGAGTTCATTGGTGAGATTTTATGTTGGTTACTGACCCCCTCAATTCCCTGCCCACCCAAGCTCTTAAAACAAAGGCAATTTATTTTTCCTCTTCGCGCTTGCTTCACACAATCCTAGTCTTTTCACACATAGAAGCTGAGGGTTGGAGAGGGAGTCTAGCGTTACTTGGCTCACCACATCTGACATCAACATCTTTCTCTCTGCTTCCTCTGCTGTGCTCCAGATAAGGCCAAGGTGTCCAGCTGCCAGGTGATTGTGCACTGCTTGGCAGGGATCTCCCGGTCAGCCACCATCGCCATTGCCTACATCATGAAGACCATGGGGATGTCGTCAGATGATGCCTACAGGTGAGTTTCCCTCAGGTGATAGGGACAGGTTGTGCTAATAATGCTTCTCTGCTACAGGGGAAACCAGGCTGAGCCTGGACAGAGAGCTGCAGCTCCTCTGGTTTGCCTTGGTCAAAGCCTGTGGTAAGCAGGCCCTGATGCCCTTTCAAGAGTGCATGCAGTGAGGAAGGTTGGGGGCCATAAACTGGAGGAAGGAGGCCAAATTCAGAGTCTAAGAAAGCCTAGCGTCACCTCCAGAGCATCCCAGTTCCTCATGGTTTCCCAAGACCTGTTTGTTACCGAGGGGCTGACAGAGGCCACTGGACAATACCTCCTCTCCCCAAAAGACTGAGGGAGCAGGGGTGACTTGGTGAAAGACCAAGTGACAACTGTGGCTGTTTGTATCTCTCTGCAGGTTCGTTAAAGATCGTCGCCCATCTATTTCGCCCAACTTCAACTTCCTGGGCCAGCTTCTGGAGTATGAGAGGAGCCTGAAGCTCCTCAAGGCTTTGAAAGCCCAGGGCGACCGGAGTGAGGGCGATGCCCAGCAGGACCCAGCTGAGGTGCCTGAGAGCAGTAGGCATTCAACACCATCTACCTCAGAAAAGGCCGAGGAGATACCGAAAAGCACAAGCTCAGCGCCCTCCCACAGCGACTCCGAGAGACAAGTGGGAACTCCTAAAATCTTGTCACCCACAGCACTACAGCAAGGACTCAATGGCTTGCACCTGTCCTCAGAGCGCATCCAAGACACCAACCGGTTAAAACGCTCCTTCTCCCTAGACATCAAATCCGCCTACTCCCCTGGCCTGAGGCAGGATGTCCCAGGCCCCACTGACACAGGGGAAGCCCCGAAGCTCTGCAAGCTGGACAGCCCCTCCGGACCCAATGGCGTGTGCCAGTTCTCCCCGGTGCCGGACAGTCCGGACTGGCCGAGCGGGCCAGACCTCCTCTTGGAGGCCAAGGTGAGGCAAAGGCGGAAGCACAGGCATCAGGCAGGTTCTCCTGCCCACGGGCTTAGCCTCAACTTCAATGGCGTGTGTGCTGTGCACAAAAGCACCAGCGTGGAGGACAATCTCAAGCAGACGCTGCGGCTCAGCCTGCCCAGCGTGGGACAGCAGCCTGTCCAAGCAGCGACCACGCCGAATGGCACCGGCACCGGTGGGGGAATCAGCCCATGGGGGGTCCACCTGGAGTCTCCGGGCACCCCGTCCTCAGAGAGCACCTGGTACTTTGGCACAGACTCGGCCGTGAGCGGCAGCAGCGGAGGGAGCGGGGCTCTGTTTGCCAGCACCACCTCCTACTCCTCGTTCAGCTGCAACGCCATGCAGGGCAGCTGCGAGATCAGACTGAGAGACAAGCAGCGGGCCGAGCAGCGGGACGGGCGCCACAGCTGGCACGAGGACGCCAATGCTGAGAAGCAGTTCAAGAGGAGGAGCTGCCAGATGGAGTTCGAGGAGACCATGTCAGAGGGCAGGTCCCGGGAAGACCTGGGCAAAATAGGCAAACAGTCTAGCTTTTCGGGCAGCATGGAAATCATTGAGGTGTCCTGACATTCATCCCGGGCACTCGGAGAAGAAGGGTGGGGGGATATTTAAATAGGGGAGAGGTGGGGTGGGAGGTTGGGGTGGGAGTATTTATACCCGTGTGTGCATTTTCAGTAGCACGCACGCCAAAACAGAAAACAAAGATGAATGAATCCAAAGTCAGGAAACATCCTGGTGAATGCTTAGTGTCCCCCCTGCTCCCAACCCTTCCCTTTCCCGCAGCCGCTTGCCCTGCGTCGCCCTGGGCCCTCGCACGCAGCTCGCCTGGGCAATGGGCAACTGCCCCTTGACTGCCGGGGAACCTCGCTGTAAAATCCAAGCAGGAGGGGGCAGGAATTCCGGCCTTGGCAGCCGATGGGCAGTCGCGGGATAGGAGGGCGAGCTGCCCATTCCCCTGGACATGCTTGGCACGCAGGGGCTCCCGCAGGAGCCCAGCACCTCTCCCACGCAGCGGGCAAGGGGCACCCGCCGTGGAAACCACGCGGACTTCTCGCCCTTCCTCATACCCCGGCGCACTAAGCATGCTCCCCCATGTTTCTCTGGCTAAGTATCCTAAAAATGCTGCACTAGAGCAGTCCTATACATATATAAATATATATTATATATAATATAAAAAACACACACACAAAGAAAAAGGTAAATGGTTTTACTGCGATTTTTATTGAGACGTAAATAATATTTCAATTTTTTGTTTTGTTTCTAATTTATTGAAGCTGTTCATTCTGGCAATGATTTGCAGACAATGTGGGGCGGTACTTTCAGCTCTATTTTTACTGTGTATGGTATTTAAATCTGAAATACGAGTTTCTAAGCAATATCTGAGGCCTGTGGCTCCTTCTATAGCTTATGTCGGCGACAAAGAATTTTTCCCCTCCCCGTTCCCTCCAGGCACAGCAAAAAGGGGACAGAAAACACTTCTGTGCACTTTTTCTATAAACACACAAGCAACGAAACCATAAAATCTTCTTATGATACAAACTGAGCCAGAAAACTCTCATCTGGAAGCTGCTGCCGCTTCTTTTTACCTCTTTTGGTCCCCGTTTGCTGCTTTCCCACCCCAGTCGTAAACCCCTTGCCTCCCCTGGTGCGGGGTGAAGGGCTGGCCTTGCTCTGTGAGGAGGGAGAGGCCCGAAGCAGGATGCTCCCCCTCACCGTGTCCGTGGGGCCGCAGCCGGCGCTGCGGGCCCCAGGCTGGGCAGCCGCTCCGTGCGGGAAAAGGGCAGGAGTGGTTTGGGGTTGGGGCGGAGGTGCCTGCTCCTCCTCCGCCCCGGCAGCAGGCCCCCCTTGCCCAGCGCTCCTGGTGAGAACACGGGACACCCTGTCCCTCGTGGTGCTCCCTCCTGCGCTTGCTGAGACGCTGCTTTGCGGAGCTGAAGGCCTTGGTTGGCCTCGGCGGCAAAGGCCCTTTCTCCTCGTGTCTGTCCGTGCTTCCCCCCTGCCTGTCCAGCACTGGTTTGCAAGCTCCTAGCTCAGGGTCCTGCCACCTGTGTCCTCCCAGGAGCCTTTTCTTTTCTGGATCTGCACGGCTTTTTCCTCTTTTCCTGCTCTCCGTGTCCGTTTCTATCTTTGAAATCAGACTACGCGTGGTAAAACAAATGATCTCAGGTTTAAAACTTAACACAAACCAGGGGCATGAGGAGCTGCAATAATACAATGACGGCCCGGTCGCTTCAGGCGGCCATTTTCCTCATTGCCTCCATCCCTCTCTGTGCGTGTCCCAAGTCCCAGCGAGTCTCCCTGGAGGCTTGTCACTGGCTTTACGCTAGTTTCCATGTTTGTTTTCCAATGGGGCTGTTCAGCAAGGCGCTGGAAAGCCCTCAAGTGCTCCCCTTCGGTACCCAAGGTACGCTTGAGATGGCAGAGGACAGAGGGAGGTGGCTGAGGCGCTCTGTCCAGTCGCCTCTCTTGCTTTTATTGAGGGGAAGGGGAGATTCTGCGTTCATTCCTCCTTGCCAAAGCCACCATCACCCGCCGTGGCCGGCAGCCTCAGAGCAGCTCTGTGTTGCTGGCTGACGCGTTGCAGCGGGTTGCAGCTCCCATGCTCCCCGCCAGGCAGCCCCACAGCCGGGGCTGGTGCATGTGGAGGAGCTGGAGCGCGCCTGGCACCCAGGAGGCTGCTCGTGCACGGCGGCTCTGCCAGGGCTGCTCAGCCCTGCCCTGCCCGCTCTTCAGCGCTCAGCCCTGCCGGTTGCTGCCTCCCCATCAGCTTCCTCCCCTCTTCACCACTCACAATCCACCCCTGCCCTTTCTGCCTACCGTTTGTGTTTTATCTTCATTGGAACTTGGCATTTCCCTCCCTGCTGGTCACTAAAGGCTGGCTACATTGTTTTCTTAGCCCCCCTTTTTATATTTCGACCAACATTGTTGTTGTTCCTTGCAGTTATTAGTCAGAGCATTGCTGAGCTCTGCGCACAGCAGGCAGAGCCTGCAGGTGGGCTGCAGGATGCAGCCAGCAGCCTCCAGGACGTGGCTTCTCCTACCCACCTTGTGCCAGGCCAACGCATTTGTGCCAGGGATCATCCCTGGCTGGTGGCTGCTCCCTCTTGCACACTGGCAGCCCGTCCTAGAGGGCTGCTGTAAGGCACACATCAGCTAAGTCCAAATCAGACAGATTACTGGCAGGAGCAGCTTAGGTGCAGATGTGGGCAGTGGAGGCAGGGACAAGGTGACTTCTCGCGGTCATGTGATAAAAAGAGGGCAGCAGAGGGATAGAGCCAGGTGGGAGAGGACTCAAAGGTGACACTCTTCCTCCTCTGAAACTGATGCAAAAAGAAACTTTTTAAGACTTGTAGACCATAACTGTCAAGAGACATGCAGGACCCACCACTGCAACCGAGTTTTGATGTGCTTCCCATCTGTCCTTCGCCTTCACACTGGCTGTGTGTGCTAGGAGCCCTCTCATGTGGTATATTTTAAAGCTACATCTACAGAATTCCCCATGAAGGGACCACTCTGCCTGAGTGTCTGCTACCAGTACCGACCCAGAGCCTTCAGGGTCATTGAGGGCCTCGCAGTTACCTTTGATGAGTGTTTTAAATCAAGCTCTGCCGAACAGCCCGCTCTGTGGTACTGGATACCTATGAGCTGTCATGAGGATGGTTGTGCCGGCCGGTAGGCGCCGTCATCTGCCTGCCAAGCCCTTTCAGGGATCCTCTGAGACAGGCAACCCAATCCAAAGCTTCACTGCAACCAAAACTGTCTTTCTATGCAGAGCTGATGAGGCTGCATCTACTTGTGGGTCCCATGGCAGAGCTAATGTCCAGCCTGGACAATCTCAACCATCCACCATGGCAGCTCCACAGCTCCAGCAGGGTTGGATCTTCCACCCTGTTAAGGATGGACCAAGTCAGAGCTCTTGGACTCAGGGCTCTCTTCCCTTAGGCTAGGAAGGATGTCCCTCCCTTCCTCCTGTCTCCACAGCACCAGGGCTGAGCCCACCCAGCCAGCCCCTTCTTTGCCTCCTGCCTCTAGGCAGGCTGAGCAGAGTGGCGGGGAAGAGAGCAGCATGGTCGCAGTCAGGTTGGCAATGCTGGGCGAGAGGCTCGAGTTGGGTACCCCTGGCCCTGGCACGTTTTCCTCGCTTGTGATATGTTCCTGGCCCTTCTCCCCCTCGCGCTTTGTCTCTTCATTTCTTTGGACATTCATCCCTCTTGCATCTACCCCTTAGAAGATTATGCCCAAAAGAAACCCCTCTTCCTGTCCTGTTTCCGCTACCATTCTTAATACTAATGATAATAAGCTATCAGTGTTGTCATTGCAATCTATGAATGATAGATTTGAGTATTTATTATTATTATTATTATTATTATGGTTATGATTATGTACTTTTTGCTTCTTACTCTTTGTATGTTGCTCTTTGTTTCTCTGTTGTGAATAAATGCAAGGCCCCGTCGCACCTTCTCTCTGCTCACCGCTGCCCGCCTGGGGCTGGCCGGCCTGGGCCACCTCCAGCACAGCTCCCACGCACTCCCAGGCTGGAGGAGGCTTATACAGGGCACAGGATTTGGAGGGGGGTGCTCCCTAAGAATGCCTAGACTCCAAAAAGCCCCGGGAAAGGGCCGGTCTCTTAACTCTTGCCATCCTCTCCAGTGACTGCGCTTCCCCATGCTGGAGTCCATTCGTGTTTGTAAAGGGCAAGAAGCCACTCACCCCGAGACTGGAGAATGAAATGGCGAAAGCTTAAAGCTAGAACACTAGCTTAAAGGCCATCCAGTCCATGGAGTCAGCTCCCTCCAGGTCGTGGTCCCCTCACCTCCTGCTCCTGTCGGCACCTGGAAAGCGCCCCTCCTCCCTGGGCAGCTTCTTGGTCCAGCCTCACCAGCCGCTAGCCTCACTCAGCCTTTGCCCCTGCGCTGGCACCACGTTTTAGCAACATCCCGTGTGCTTTATTGGCGTGAGTGTCCTCCTGACGCCGTCTCTGCCCCAGGATGTACCTCCTGGTGCTGATCATGGCCAGTGTGAGAGCTAGCAAGGTGGCAGAGCAGCCCTGAGAGACGTGAGCAGGCTGGCCGCTGGCTTCAGGAAGAGATGGGGAAATTGCTGTTGGTAGGGAGCAATGCTGCTTCCTGGTTTCCCAGCAGTAGCAGTGGCCGGGAGCAGCACTGACAAACCTGGGTGGCCTGCAGGGATGGAGTCTGGGGCATGTGTTTTGCACGCATAGCCTGGGCTCCTTCCCCGACCTGCAGGTTCTGAGATGATTGCAAGGCAAATATTTCTCCAGGAGAATACATTAGGGAAGGGGAAAGGAATCCTTTCTACACTGCAGCATAGAATGCTCCCTGTGTAACGGGCCAGCCCCATGAAGGCTGATTTTCATCGTTGGAGTTTAACACTGTCCTTCCCAAAGCAGCCAAAAAATGGCCCATTGTCCCCGTCAGGGCTCTGGGCTGTTGCAGGTGGGGTCTCCATCCTCGTGCTGTGTCAGACTCATCCCTGACGCTGCCCAGAGCCCCAGCACCCTCCCGTTGAGGCTTCACCCTGTGCTCAGGAGCTGCCCGCTGGGGCTCCAGCGGCCCTCACCGAGGCTC